GGATTAAGGTCTCGATCTGACTGTCTTAGGGTTGTGTACCCTCTGTGCTGACCATTAAGCCCACACTCTCTAGCCTTTTGTGCTTTACTTATAATTGATTTGATTTCTTATACCTATAAATACTTAACTTCTGATTTTGTATTTATTTTAATACCTATTTCTTAACATTTAAGGCATTCAATAGATACCTATTTTGAACTTTGAATATCACTTAAGCTCTAAAACATTTGATATTTGAAATAATGCATTATTTTGTGATGAAAACTAATTGAAATGTTTGTTAACAATATTTGTATTTTGTCTTTTGCGTGGATCTGGTATTTGATGCAATTAATGGCCAAATGTGTACAATTGTAGTGCAATTGAGTGCATAAAAACGGATAACTTCTAAGCGACTAATGATAGGCGTATCCCCTCTTATGGAGAGTTTATCCGTTTTATTGAGTCGATTGAATGCTATTTAACGGAATCTGTGAATAGGTTTTTGTTAGACAATAGTTTTCAATCGATTGTAGTTTTATATACATATGTATAGTATTTGTGGTATAATTTTTGTTTGTTTTTTGATGTAATATTGATTTGATATAAACTAACGCTTTATTGTTTTGTTGCCAATCAGGAGACCGAGCGCTTAGTGAACACAGCATTCACTTCCCATTGTGTCCGTTCATAATGGAGATGGATGTCGGGAATGTGCCCATCGGTAGAGATCCCATTCGGGACCCTAAGGCCAGACACGATGTCTGCGGGAATATGAGTTCATATGGAGACACGAATTCAGTGCTGAACTCAATTTCGATCAATAGAAGAGATGTCGATATGAAGGCATTGGATACCCATATGAGTGAATTTGGAGTCCAGCCCCACAACGGACCCAAAAATCCCGAATATAACTCGATTGATGCCCGAAAGCGTTCCTATTATATCAATGGTTGGGATCAATCCATTCCCGTATCAATGGATAGCTTAGCTGAGGCCGGCTTTTTCTCAGTCGGTGTGTATTATTATAGTTTTTAATTTAATTTTATTACGTTTATAAAAGTTGTGATGAAATTTGGTGTCAGTTTTAACTTTTACTGAGAATTTTGGTGTTAGTCATGAATTTTACTGGAAATCAATCATATGTTGAACACGTGAACAGTAATTTGAAACTTAGATTATGATAATCACGATTGAAATGCAAACGTTTTGCATTAATAAACACGTAAACAAATGACTTAATCAACAAAAATATAAATAAAAACCGGAAACTTTTGAGACAATACAGTCGTTGGCTCATCAATTGGCGCCGTTTTATCACTTCTTTATCTATTTTGATAACAATATGTGCTTTTATTTGTGTCATAAATTACCTGTATATTTATGTTGACATAATTGACAATAATATTAACATTGATTGTATTTGACAGGAATGAGTGATTACACGAAGTGTTTCTACTGTGACGGCGGTCTGTCTAATTGGGAGCCGGGAGACGAGCCGTGGACAGAACACGCCAAATGGTT